CGAAAGGGTGAAGCGCTTGATGGTCCATGGTGGAGAGAAGAAATCGCTCGTTATGTACAGCAGGTTACATCCTTCAATCAAGAGGGCGTCTGGGTCCTCCTCTTCCCTCTTCTACATGAGCCAAAACAAAAAACAAAAATAAATTTAAATTGAATTGTGAGGAAAAATGGCACTGGAGATTTGGTATATTTTTAGAGCTCGGCCATGCATTGTTGTATCCGTTTGGAGGAACAATGCTTCCGTCATGCAACATCCATCCAATGCGCTTTTCTATGCCTTTTTTCTGCATAAAAGCATGCTCAAAAGCAGAAATACAAGAAGGTGCTACGTCCCCCTCACGATTTCGCGCCATGGCAATCTTGTACAATTTCCCCTCGTGATTCCATCGCGCCATGACAATCTTGCACAATTCCCTCTCATTTCGATTTCATCGCGCAAAATGGGCTGATATCGCGGTGCATAGTATCATTCTCAATACAATTTCAATTGGAAGACGAATTCACAAAGTCTGGCCGAAATCCATGATTATTACTTCCCATGCACAACTGACGAGAACTTTCTTAGATTGAACGATATGTGGTGTAAAGAGCCTATTTCTTATGTCTTTTTTAACGATGGAGCATGAAATTCAAGAAACAAAACTCCCGAACGTACCCTAACGATGAGTAACCAACTGAACTTCTTCACTTCCCTCAGCGCCAGGTAGATGACGCTAGTTCAATGATACTGAAAAGTATTTCCAGCTAATATCGAACCAATCCCGACAAATGATATTTTTCTTTTTAAGGGGAAAAGGAAATATATAGGTATAATACTAGCCAGTTTCCTCTTCGGGCAAACAAACTCGCTATGGTCGCGTCTTTGGCGCTCATTGTCCAGGCTTGCGATTCATTAATTCATTTTTGAAGTGGCGGAAACGAATGAAAAGTATGTGCCGGTCGAAATATGTGCCACGAGGAGACGAATTTATATTTCCATCGAAATAATTACTTCGATTATTTCTAGGGTGTCTACCCTTACGAAAATGTCTCATAGGATTCCTATATATTCCTTTAGGAATATATAGGAATCCTATAAAGGGTCTTATAGGTCTGCTGACCGATAGGATTCAGGGAGGATATTTTGGGTTTCGAAACCCAGGCATTACGACGGAAAAGGCGACCGGAGTTAATATTGGCGCAGCATTTCGGTGTAAATCAAAATCGATTAGGGGTTTTCCCATGGTACGGGGCACATGCATTATTAATTCCAGTACTGCGGGGATCTGCATAATTTATGGCCCCGCCCCACATGTGCCGCTAGATTGCACGTTTACTTCCTTCGGTAGGAAAAATAGTATTCTTCTCTCGACCTAAGGAAAGAAGAAAAAAATTGTGAAGGGAAGAGTGAAAAGAATGTGAAGTTGTACAGGATCACCCCATAAATAATTTCACTTCATCAATAAATGACTATTAAGAGGTTTTACCCAATTAAATTTTAGGGATCTATTTTTAGTCATGTACGCTACTTATAGTTAAAATTTCAACGATTTCCTGCTTTCAGGTTCAGATCTGTGCGGCAATAAAAAAAAATGGTGTCATTCTGTTTTCTGTCACGCAATGGAATACGGCAAAATTGCTCTTCGATTCTTGATTGAAACATGTAGAAGGAACTCTTTTCTGCAATTAAGACGTATGAGTTCAACATTGCACGGCCGTCGCGCTTCGCCAAGTGCAGCTGATTCATTCTGAGTTGAATTCTGGCATTGGAAAAAAGGAAGATGGAAGAGGACGACCGCGAACGTCACGTACCGAGAACATCAAATTCCGCTGAGAGTCCATGTCGCTCATTGGAGCACATCGATATGGAAACTGGCATACCAGATAGAAGTTACAAGGAAATGTGTCACATGACACAGGAACACGTTTCGGCGGAAAGTTGTCAACTGACACACCGTAAAGAAATCTAGCTAAGAATGTGTCATTCGGCACACTCATGACAAATTTTAGGACCAATATGAATTACTTCATTCGGGGCACCTTTGAATTTGTTTAATAACACATTATATCATGTCATTTTTCTGTGTGCAGATTATGCGGATTACACTGAAGTCCTCAATTTAAAAAATACCTGTCAGTAAATAGAAAAGGAGTTCCACAATCAGGAATCTTTATTGAAGGAGTTGCATGCAATGATGGAAAGTATTGACGAAAGAGTAGGGAATTCCAATGAAGAAAACATGAAAAATGCACCACACAAGCAAAGTTCAAGAATGAAAATCGATCTGCTGAGGACTGGGAGTCACCATTGCGGTCGTTGTCATCATGCGCGTTATGGATCGGTCTGTGATCCAAACAGGCATCATAAGATACTCGAAATAGTGCGCACATCATTGACATTTCTCGGCTGTAGCCTCTCGAATGCTCCATTATATCTAGCAGTGAAGCATTGTTGTTTGGAGTTCCACGTCCAAAGTGCTCTTTATTAAGAGCACTTTGAGAAGAGAAAAAGCATCTGTCAAATCGTTCTGAAAATACCCCAGAATATATTTCCGAGATGAAAAATGTTTCTTAAAAATGTCGACCTTTGGTATGGTTTTATACCATCCCTAGTAGCATATAACACTGAAACAATACTGATTCGATGTTGATTTAACACCCGGACGTTGAACCAACGTTGAAATCAATGTAGATTTGATGTTGCATGCTACTAGGGATGTTTCAGTTTTCAACAGTAGCCCGATTCATGGCAGCGAAATATTTCTCTTAAACGTCCTCACTGAAAAACTTGCCCCAAGAAAATAACCTCAAAGGTGTGGCTTTCCTTGACGACATCTTCCGTAGAACTGCTTTAGGAGACCTTTCTAATTAATAGAACTCGTAAAATGGCAGAATTTTAGCTTTCATTATGTTCCTTTTTCAACGGGACAAAAAAAGTAACAGAAAAAGTCTCCCCGAAAAATATATGCCACAAGGAATGTATCCAAGTTCTTCGTGAGGGCTCGTGAAAGCTTGTCGATTAGGGAGTTCAACGTGGAATTCATTGAGCAAGAAAACTACTCAGCTCCTTTATGAATTGCAGGGTGTTAATGGACACGAGTGGAGGCCTCCTCGATGCCCGTTGGAGACCTTCCTTGGAGGCATGCTCAGTGGCGATTGAACACTTTAAACCGATAAATAAACGATTTATCGTTTTCCTGAAAACGCCGAGAAGCGCTGACATTAGTCAAATCTTATCTTCTCAGAATTATTGACAACATATGTTCCAAAGTTGCCATCCTAACCTCGGGTTGTGGACCATTTCGGGATTTAAAAAAAAAAGGAGTGACTGAATAAACGGAAGATTTATCGAGACTCACGGGTCAAGGCGCGATAGTACAGTGGTTTACGGATACGAAGTGATTAGACCATTTCCTGGATATTTCATACCAGGCGATTCTTCGGGTTAAAGCCTTCTTAAAATCTTTTTCTTTATACATATATATGTATATGTTTCCTTATTTACTGGCATGATCCAATCTGATAGTTCCTCCATCCTTTAGCTAAGAAAACTTATTCGAGATTACAGGGTGGCTTTAGAAGACGAATCCTTCTGGGCAATTCAGCAGAAAAAGAGGGCACAAAAATATATTTTCTGATGAATATTGTCTAAAAATGTTCGTCCATTACTCCGTCATTTTTTATTGTCATACCTTCAAAATGAAAATTGCAAGGAGGCTGTTCTACTGAGAAACGCGGGTTGACCTTGCTGAGAATTGCTCCTTTCCTACTAGACTCGAAAGTAGGAGTTGATCACAGTTTGACGTCATGTTGTTGACATCAGTTGGCCACCGAAAATTGTAAGACAACTTTTCTCGGGAAGTAAATTGTGGACTTCTCACAGACACAGGTCGGGGTGGGGGTTGTCATCTCCATTTCCCTCGACTCAATTTACACTTAAGGGAAGGAAGCAGTTATTTATCGCGTCCAATGGCAAGGGATAATTTTTTGTCCTCTCCCGATCTGCCAAAAAATATAAAATGCTGGGTAGTATTGAATGGATGCCCTCCCAACACTATGTAAAGAAATCTATTACTCTGTTTCGTGTATTTGATTAAGCTAAAGTCCAGCTAGGGCTAATAATATGCAAGTCGGGACGAGAATAAAGAACCGCAGATCAAGATTGAATACGAGCCGTGATGTGTAAAAAAAAAGCATTTCATTTTCGCAAGTCATACATCAATGTACAATGAACAAACCATATAACTAGAAAGTTAAAATTCGTACTGTCTCTCAGCAGTTGTCTGGAGAGAAGAGGAATTTTTTAATTGAACAGCAACCTGATTGCCACAGGTGAATTCACAATTGATCTTTTTGGTTCTCTTCACGTCCTAGTAAATGGTGTCTCAATAAAAAGTTAACGCTGTGATCATGGATTTTTCCAGCATCATGTTGAACGAGAAAAAAAAGTTTGTGTCAGTCAGAAAGAAAAGAGTTTAAGTTGAAAACCACTTTTCTGAATCGAGATATGGAAGAGTGAAAGTTAGACTCAAAGAATTTTACACACCATCGCTAAAGTACTTGTTCAAGGTGCAGGTTCATTTTGAGTCAGTTCGACCAAAATGAACAACTTCGTGTGGTTCTCTGACCAATTGGGAATCATATACCATGGTTGCTGCAGGTAAGATCAACTCGTAATTGTTAGCAGTTCTTGGAAAGTAGTGAATTTGTACCAAAGTATTTCGATGTACATACATCTACTGTTTACGAGTTCAAGTTACATATAAATATTTTTTCCGAAGACTTGAAGAATGCCCCAGGTAAACTTGTGAACGCTTGTGTTGTATTTTCAACGGAACATAATCATGTATGAATAAACATAGCCTTATTTATGTGTTCTGCGATTGCAGGACCTGACTCATTTCCAGAATGGTGTTAAAGAAAATATATTTCCTCTTCTCCCTCACGGCGAAGGCATTCTCTAACAATCTAAAAACGGCACGGAATATATGAACATTTAGACTGTATGAAATGGCACTAGCGTCACTCTTCCCGTGTTATTATAAGCATTACGAAAGCAAGAAGTAAAACGATCCTCAAAGGTTGTCCAGTGATTGCCTGGCTTATTGCATCTTTGGGGCAGGTGCAGTTTGGAGCCCAGGTGTTCTCGTGGCACGAGAGCACCTGTTTCCTCCAACTGACGTCGCGAGGACAGAATCCTAAGATGTTGTTCCTGAAGTCGAATCCATTAATGACACTGAAGTGGAGGACGCGGGAGTCAGGAAGGCGACTTTCCGTCATGGTTGCGTTTTTGCCTTTCAGTCTGAAGATGCTTCTGTCTGAGTTCTTCGTCAAACGGGAGATCGTTACAGAGTCGCCCCGAACCAGGAAGAATCCATGCTCGTACTGCAGTTCCGCATCAATGAGGGACACTGTCTCTCCCTCCAGGGTAACGGAACCCATATCATGAAACGAAAAATTCTGCATCAACAGTCGGTGCGTTTTGATCTTTAAGTAATTGAAGGTCGTGGATCCTGACAGTCGGAAGCCAGATGTGTCTGATTCTCTCGCTTCCAGATGGATGTTAGAGGGATTTCGTAATTCCACGTTTGTCATATGGATCCGATCCGCCTTGAAATGGCTTGCGTTTCGATAGTCTTCCATTTCCATTCGATTGGATAGGCTGACGTTGTGAATCGTGATGGTAGTGTTGCTCAGATCGTAAATTCCCTGGTCTAAATGCAGAGCTGCTATGTTCGAAAGATTGAAGTGCTTGATGGTCCATGGCGGAGAGAAGAAATCGCTTGTAACGTACAGCAGGTCACATCCTTCAATCAAGAGGGTGTCTGGGTCCTCCTCTTCCCTGTTCTGCACGAGCCAAAAAAAGAAGAATTAATTACATTTGAATTGCAAAAATAAATTCGTTATGGGATTTGGTATGATTTCAAGAGCTCGGACATGCACTGTTGAATATGTTCGGTGGAACTATGTTTCCGGCAGGGCAGAACCATCGAATGCGCTTTCCCATGCATTTCCTGTATGAATGCATGCTCGAAAGCCGGAACAAGAGAAATCGCTGTCTCCCTGCGATTTCATAGTGTCATGACAAACTTGCACAATTCCCCCTTCATTTAGATGGCTAACAGGAGAGTTAAAATCGACCAAGTTTAAGCCAAATTGAACATTAGTATCAGGTTGCCTGTCCTAATGAACCATCTTTTCCACCTCTTCAACAACGTCACCGCTAATTGATGTGCTCGGTCGTCCCGATCGACTTTCGTCAATAAGACTTGTTCGGCCATTTCAAAATCTTTCTACTCCCTCATACACTTAGCGCTGTGTCCTCCAGCTGTCACCATACTTAGCTGAAATTCTTCTGTGAATTTCAGCCACTTTTACGCCTTCTGGCCACAAAAGCCTCACAAAATCACGCTGTTCTTCTCTGGTGCACACAATCAGTGTAATCTCCATCTTAATATGGGCCTTACTAGGGCAACGAGTGTTTTGCAACGGAGTTATGGGATTCTCGCGCATGAGTAATGTTCTCGCATACCGTATGGGAAACAAAAGCTACGATGGATACTGCTTTATTAAGATATTGATGAATTGCCTTTACTTTATGAGTGACATTTGTAGTTCCACTTTACTTAGATTCTCGTCCGACATCATGGGATGCACATTATCCATTTGAATACGGGAAGCATCATGAAATCGAATTGTGCAATACCTAAATTGGAATCCCATTTCATCAACGAAAATATTTTAATCAAGCACACGCTTGCTTCACCTGACTGTCAGGATAACAAAACAAGAGAAAAATACGTAAGCGTTCAATGGTAAATATTTCGAATATTTAAACCATTTAAAATATAAGATTGTGGAATTGATGTTATCAATTCGTAGTGGACGACCTTCATATCGTGCAGGCGGTTTTCATGCATCCCTGGAAAATAATGATAATCCCGGAGTGCCCAGCTATGAGCACATTTTATGTGGCAGACGTTCTATCGACCGTCGGAGTCCGTCACACATATGGCTTTGCTCATGTCGACCCGTTAAACAGTCTTTCGCTGATGCCGCATGAAAAACGAAACGAAACGGGTTCGTACTCGGGGTTGAAATACAAAAGAGGTATTTGTTTCCTATATGGACAATCCGAGTCTGGTACTACTCCCACCTCCCTACCCAATGGTGTCCCCATTTTCTTCTCCTTCCCATATTTCCTTTCCCCATCGTCTGGTGACACATAGCCTCTTTGAACGGTGTTCTCGTTATGCATAGTTTTGGTAATACCTAAAGTTTGCGCCGAAAATTTCAGTTTCAGAGTTTTAACTGATATTGGTAATTGAAAATTACTAGGACTACGGCATTAACTTAGGAATTAACTTAGAAGACATATCGCCAAAGAGGCTATTTGTGGCAAGGATTTACACACCGACTGGAATCTCCATAATTTTAACAACCCAGAGTCAAAAGGAAATTTTCTTAACTGACCAGTGTAATGGCAGGGTGATATATAATCTCTATGGCTGTATCCTGAGTTGTGGATGCGAAAGTGGCACGACTGAAAATAATGTCAAATGAAATAAAGTTATGAGTGACAACAAAGACTATTTCTCTTGGCAGTAGCCGCATTCTCGAGCATTTGCATTACAAAGGAAAGGGAAAAAATGGAGGAATGAAAAGAGGGTGAAGCTTACAATACTGACTATTGAATATTGGTATTGACGCATGCGTTTTCTATGCGATTGTACCAATTGCATTTGCATTTGATTGCGATTGAATGATTTGCCCAAGCTGTGTCGCATGACACAGGTGGAAATTTCTCGCAATACACAGGAACACGTTTCGGTAGAGAGAAACGTGTCAACTGACACATCTTCAAGAAATTTTGCGAATAATGTGGCATTCGACACACTCATGACACGTTTTAATGCGAAGAAATTCTTTTGGAGCACACATTATATCGTGTCATTTCTATGTGTGCAGATTACATTGAACTCCTCAATTTAAAAAATTCCAGGAAGTAAATGGAAAAGGAGTTCCACACTCAGGAATCTTTATTGATGAAGTTGCATGTAATAATGGAAAGTACTGAATAAGTAGTAGGGAATTCCAATGAAGAAAACATGAAAAATGCCATACAAGCAAAGTTCAAGAATGAAAATCGATCTGCTGAGGACTGTGAGTCGCCATTGCGGTCGTTGCCATCGGGCGCATTATGGATCGGTCTGCGATCCAAACAGGTATAAAACGATTCTCGGAATGAAGCGTTTATCCTTGACATTTCTCGGCTGTAGCCTCTCGAATGCTCCATTATGTCTAACAGTGAAGCATTATTGTTTGGAGTTCCGCGTCCGAAGTGCTCTTTGATAAGGTTGTCCTTTGCAACCAATGAGTTCCGTCGCTTCATCCTTGCGATGGAGTGCAACATTGCCCATGACAAGGGCGGACGGTTTTTCCAAGGCACTTGTGAGATGATCCAGGAGGTGTAAGGAGACTTGAGTGGTGCATGATCCCAATAACAGACGAAGCGCAGGACTCCTTCGGAACTGATTGCAAGAATCTAGGTCAGAATCTCCCATCGGGAATTTGGTATTCGTGCTGTTGCTCTCTCCCTGATTGCATTCCTTCAAAATCGTCTCCGAATGTGGGGGTTGAGCCTCCGTGGTCTTCCCTGCGTTTTCCCTTCGAATCGTCTCCCTCACGAATATATATTTCAATAAATTGGTAGCTTTAGATTGTTGGCCTGACTGTTTGATTGTCGGGATGATTATAAGAATAATGGCCACGTAATCACAACTATCAGAGTCGCATCAAAGACTTGGAAGATGCAAGGAAATGATGAAATCCATTTTACTTTCCTTCAATTACCTCGGGGGAAATTCATGCTACTGGAGCCCCATCAAGTGTCTTCAAGTTGACGTTGTTTTTCTTAGGTACTCTTGAAGCAGTGGAAGTGATAATATGGATATCTGACAAGTGTTGCTCGTCTTCCTTCACTTGTTGGACGAACTCATTGAACGTGATGCCGTTGTTGGTTTTCACCATTCCGAGAATCCTCTATTCTTGGATGACCAAGAGACCTTTCATCCTCTTGAAAACTGTCATCCCAGAAGTTTCCATGAATATTCAGCTGATCCCGGCGACATTTGACTTGGGGACGTTGTAACATCCTCCAGTTTTCCCACAAGATTCATTGTGATTGAACACTGGATTACTAATTATTCTTCTTAATTCGTCGGATGTGCTTCTCTTTCGCCTGGGCGCCATGGCGGCCAAAAGGGAAACTGACGAATGCCGCAGGAGGATGCGCATTGCAGCCTTTGTGTCGAAAGTCTCGGATATGGTTCCCGACACGACTGCCAGGTGGTGTTGCCATTCCGAGCGGCACAGGATTGATGGAGGCGAGCTGGAGTTACGAAAGATGATGCAACGCGTGGGATTGAGTTTGAGAGAGGAGTGGAATATTTTGCTACTGGTATCCAGCATTTTACTAGGCGTGCGAAGCTCACAGAAAAACACTTTATAATTATATACGCAGCATCAACACTGAGATCAGAATGGGAGCGCTTCCTAAAGGCATTCCAGTAATCGCATGGCTGACGGCATTTTCGGGGCAAATGCAGTTGGGAGCCCAAGTGTTCTCCAGGCAGGAAACCTCTCTTGCCATGGCACTGTCACAGAACTCCAAGGTGTTGTTTATGAACTCCAGTCGATTGATGCTCGTGAAGAGGAGGTTGTCGGGGCGCGAAATTCGGCTCTCTGTAATGGTGGCTTGGACGTTGGCTGTGACTATTAATTCCCCACTGTCTCTAGATTTGTTCAGACGGGAGATCGTGACTGAATCGCCGTGAACCTCGAGGTATCCATCGACGGATCGGAATTCTACGTCCAAGATGGACACTTTCTTTCCGTGGAAAGTCACGGCTGCGGGGGTGCCGAAAGAGAAATTCTGCACCGACAGTCGATCCGCTTGAACGATGAGACCATCAAGGGTCGCCGGTCCTGAAAATTTGAGTTGGAATATCTCCGCCTCGTTCGCTTCCAATCTGAGGTGGAATGGATTTTGCAAATCCATGCGTTCTATCTGGATCCGATCCGCCTTGATATGGGCGTGATGACCAACCCGGAGCTCTGACTTGTTTCGATCGGAGAAACTGACGTTTTGAATCGCGATCGTAGTGTTGCTCAGATCGTGAGTTCCCTTGTCCAAATGCAGAGTTGCTATGTCCGAAAGAGAGAGGCTTTTGATGGTCCATGGTGGAGTGAAGAAGTCTGTTGTAATGTAGAGGAGGTCACAGTCCTGGATCGAGAGGGTTTCTGGGTCCTCCCCTTCCCTTTTCTGAGCGAGCCAAGAAAAAGCAAAGGAAGAGCAAGTAAGTTGAAAGTAGGACGAAATTACTCATTAATTTTAAGCCTTTCTTTTACAGGACGCGAGGAGCATGCATTGTTGGATCTATGGAGCGTATTTCCCTACAACACTCTTAATTCATTCGCCTTCAGGAACTTTTCGTCCAATCTGACAATTCTACTGCCTTAGCCTGAGGCGCGAGGCCTTTTCCTGAATGAAACGGTTAAAAAAAAGTCCTCAAATTTGGGTTTAGAGTGCCTATATGCAATTCACTTACGGACGGTTAGGCTAACGCCTTTCTCATACACACACTTGCTTTAACGAAACAGGAACGTGATTAGCTGCCAAAAAAGTCAGAATTTAATCGTGCATGCCCTGGGACCACATTTTGGAGGGAGACTCATTTCATTAGCCTATGCCTAACCCACCGACTGAAGCTTATAACTTAATTTCTTTCAGGAAAAAGGGTAGAACAAATGTCCCGAGATATTATGCTATAGTAGGTCTACGTCTAACACACTGGATGACGTTCAGGCTCGCACCACCCTTAAGCACTTATTTTCTCCAGTCAAAGTGAAAGAAATATGCACTGAGACTTCGGGATTCAATAGGCCACTACCGATTCCACAGATGATTGACGAGTATCCCATCCCTGATATATGACAATTGGTCTGTCGAGATGTACATATCGTGGGATATCGTGCTTTTTTAAATACAATCCTTGGGGCATGTATTTTTTCGGCGATACCTTTTCTACGACACTTCTTAGTCCCAGTGAAAAAGGAACATAATGAAATCTAATATACTGCAGTTCTATTAATTATATGCAGTGGAAAGTTCTTCTAATGTAGTTCTCCGGAACATGTCTTCAGGGAAAGCCCAACTTTTGAAGTTATTCTCTAGTAGAACGTTTCTAAGCGAGGACCTTTTACAGAAATTTTTCGCGGCAGCGAATCTGGCTGCTGTAGAAAACTGGAACATGCTATAGAAATATCTGATAGGTCATTAACTTTAAGAAAAAATCCACATCTCAGAAATATCTTGTTTGTTTTTTTTTTCAGATCGGTGTAGGCAGATGTATTTTCTCTGCAGTAAAACGGGGATTTGTACATAAGTTCAACTGCAAAATTTTTTTTCTTCGGTATTTTGGGTTCAGGAAAAATCATGAGATTTGGGTCTTGCCACCCCCGATGCCCCTTTTGGGTTGGGATAATGTGTTACCTTGCACATTCTCACGTAAGGAAAACTGATTCTTACAGTCTTGCTCCGTACAGTGCCTCACTGTATGGAGGAAAAACTGCGAGGGGACATTTCGGGTGAAACGAAGAATCTCCGCTTGCGTTATGTTGCTAATATGAATTCACATAACTAGGAGCAACTTAAAGCTACAATGAAAAATACTTATGACTCATGGAGTTTTACCACATTGGTAGGCGTAATAATCGAAAACAGACGTTCCAAATGCATTATACATTTTGTTACTACCGTCAACTAATAAACTGAAGATCCCGTTTCTACAGTATAACGGAACACATGCATAGCGCTTTCTTTCGTCGTTACTAATCAATTATGTTCAATCAATTCTGAATTAAGCATTGAATCATAGTATCCCAAATCCTACCTATTGGTACTTCTTTTCATCTGAAAAAAACATCTTAAGAGCCGATGAAATTAATACGATCCAGGAATGATTATTCTGAATGTCTTCTTTCGTATGGATATACGGAAAGTGAAATTAGACGACGGATTGATCGCTTTCGTGCGAGGATTTTCCGAGTAGATCGATTTGCTGGTACTGGTTTCAGTTGTTCACTCTTTTCCCAAATCTTAGATTGGCAGAGTTATTGCTGTTCCAAATGCTAATGATTGGAACATCGTGTTTCGGAATATGTCTACACGATTAAGAATAACGATTGCAAGTCAGCCTTCCCTTACGGAAATGTCCTATAGGAAGCCTATAGACTTTTCTATAGGTTTTTGAAACACGAAAAACCTATAGGATCCTATAGGGTCTTATAGGTCTCCTGACCTATAGGATTCGGGGAGGATTTTTTGGATTTCGAAACCCAGGCATTACGACAGAAAAGGCTACCGGGGTTAATATTGGCGCAGCATTTTGGTGTAAATCAAATACTTATTAGTGGTTTTCCCACGGCAGGGACACTTGCATTGTTAATACCAGTACTGACCAGGTCTGTATAAGTTATGGCCCCAGCCCACATATGTCGCTGGATTGCGCGTCCACTTCCTATAGTAGGGAGATGTATTATTCTTCTCTAGGCCTAAGGAAACAGAAGACAGAACCTGCGAGCACGTCTCTTAACTGGAAATCCATTGGGATAGAGTTTACTCATTCTCTTACGTGGTTTTCAAAGGGAATAAAGGCATATTTCTTGCCTGGACTCCATGATTCTATCTGGAAGATGGGGATGACAAATGAAGAAGTGTCGAAGTTTATTGATTGTTACAATGAGGCAAGGGATTTGGGGATGTACAAAACTCTCTTCTGAGAGATGATTCCTTGGGTAAGGGGAGGGCACTTTTATGTCCTTTGAGAAATGCGAGAACCCAATACTTCCATCTAGTGGCCTAGAGGAGAACTTCAAACGGTACCCTACAGGTCCTATAGGGAACCTATAGGCCTTATGGGGAACCCTACAGGTTCTATAGGGACCCATATAGGTCTCAAACAGAACCCTATGGGGCCTATTGGAACCAATAGGATTCCTTTTGGTTCCCATAGGAGTCCTATAAGACATTTTCGTAAGGGTTACTATTGCATTTTTCACATATGTTTCAATTATGCCAGGAGAAGGATGGGAGAGTCTGTATATCTCAGTGCATTTTGTGAATAGGGGTACGGAAGAAGGAAAAGAGAAAAACGTTGAATGACTTTAATATCGGAGCGTGCTATTGGTAAAAATTTATTGTCAAACGTGGCAACTGCGTTTGCGCAAACGGGGGGGGGGGGGCATGGGGGACAAGAACAAACAACTTTCTGGTTGATTGGTCTAATCCCTAACTCCCATTCTATTATGGTTATTGAAAATACATGTATTACTACTGAAGAGACGTGTATATACCTCAGTCACTCCGGAAAATTTATATTTTAATAAGTGAATATCTGCAGATGTACTCTCACCACTTATCCCCTAGTAATCCCCTATTAACAGCAAAAGGTGCCAGGTAAATAATAGGAGACACAATCACAGACTTGGAACTTTCGTCAGAAACAACATCGCTAAGACCAAAACGAGAACGCTTTCTGAACTCCGTCCGGCGATCTTTTGGGGCAATAGCAGTTGGGAGCCCAGGTGTTTTCATGGCATGGGACTGGTATCGCCATGACACGTTGCTTGCACAGAAGTCCAATATATTTTTTATGAAGTCAAAATGCTTGAGGGCGATTAAGACGGAGTCGGCGTCGGAAAGTCAATTTTCTGTCATAGTTGTCCGATTATGGTTGCTGACCCTCAAGATCCCACCAGATCCAGTCTTGTTTAAACGGGAAATCGTGACCGCGATCGTGGCAATCACCCCGAAGAATCCATTCGGGGGTCGAAATTCTGTGCCCGCGATGGACACCGTCTCTCCCACAAAGGACACGCAACCAGGGACATTGGACGAGAAATTCTGCACCGACATCTTCGACCTCGAAATCACTATCATTTGCAGATCCTGGCATTCGAAAATAGGATATTCCACCTCGGTCGCGTCCAGGCTGATGTGGAAGGAACTCGCAATTCCATTCCGATCCGATCTGCCTGTATCTGGATGAGATTACCATCCTAGGGCTCTGACCCGTTTCGATCGGACATGCTGACGTTGCGAATCTTCATCAGTGTTGCTTCGATCGTGAGCTTTGAAGTCCAGATGATGAGTTGCTATGTCCCAAATGGTGAGGAATTTGTGACCTGCTATATATTGCAAACGATTTCTTCACTTCACCATCGACCATCAGTCTTTAATTGAGAGAGTTTCTGGATCCACCCCTTCCTTCTTATGCCCAAGCCAAAGAAAATGAGAACTATATTTTTTTAGAAAGGGAAAACTTAGTAATTGGATTTTTTTTTTAAGTGGGAGCGGGGACGGACATGGATTGTTTAATCTTTCTGAGGGAATTATACTTTCATGATGGATCCATCGAACATGGATTTCCCATACATTTCCATCACGAAATTTACCATTTTCTTAGGTAACTTCGGGCTAAGTGAGGATTACATTAGAGAGAGATACATCGCAGATTTAGGGCACTTATGCGAGGCAGTCGACGTTTGAGGCTGCGTGGCAGTAGGACGTTTTGGAATGAGCCCACAACCAAGCGGCACACGCAGCCAATGGAGAATCCGTGTAGGAGAGAGGATCACCTCCTCTAAGAACAGACTGACGAAAGTAGGATGTCATAGATTGCTTTCGCTTTGGGAAACCGAGGAGGGTGAGAAAGAAAGCCCCTGGAAGGACCTGGCCATAGTACCGGCGCTGCTCCCTGTAGTTTCAAGAAACTGGCACCCGCGGAAGAATTGATTCTCCTGCACAAGGCCTCGTTGTGGGGATGTCATTGAGCTAGGAAAAAATACAGGGTGTCCATAAATTATTGAAGGGGGTTTTAAAATGTATATCTTGAAAACTATTGGGGAAAAATTGATCGGACTTGCAGCAGACAGTAGCTAAAGTCTAATAATTTTTTTTTGTTAAACTTTCCCCAGGTAAGCTTCAATATGGGCACTGTTTGTACCTCTGCAAACATCCAGGTGAAATTCAATCTCTGCCTGTTTTCCCAAGAAATTCTGGCATGATTGTTGATGTATCTTATTCTTTCTTTTTATTTTCAACATCTAATCTTATTACTTTCATCTTGGACGAGATGTCTTATTTCAATATCCCAAATAAATTCTATATGGGTCATGTCTGGTGACTGTGGTGGCCAAGGGATTGGCCCTTTCTTGGTAACACAATCCCAGCTTCTTGTGACTGCTTACACCACCTTCTAATCAAATTGTCTCCTGGAGATTCTTTTAGAAAATTTTTTTTTTCTGAATTTGTATTCAATGAGTACCACTGATTTCCACTCCATTCTGCCAAGCACAAAATCCAATAAGCTTTTTCTTGCAATGTAACCGTGACAATCGGCTAATGCAAGAAATTAACCCTCTCTCATTTTCTCTCTCTCTTCCTCTGCCTCAGTCATGCATGCACCAAACGTATATAGGGTGTTTAAAAAATGACGCTCCATCCTTTTTCTCTGAGGAAATGACAATTTTCCTTTTATGGGTATTCTCATGGAAATAAAAATCCATAAAAATGTAAATCTGACTTTTCCTGATATTCTAATTTGATCCAAATGTCCATTCCTTTAAAATGGCAAAATCTAAATTTAAAAAATCAATTTCCAGGCATTTTTGATCAAAATGATGAATTAGGATAGTAAAAATACTGCTCACAATCAGTCTATGGAAACTAAACCAAACTCTAATTGAACCTTCTTAATTTGTAATTAAATGAAATATTTTCAATTCAAAATCAAAATCCAATTTGCTTTCTTAGAACTCTTCTGCAGCAACCAGAAAGTAAAGTAGCCATGAAGTCATGTGTTCTTGAATTCTGTGCTCCTAGAATTGTAGGCTGGAAGGGCCAGGAAGGGATAGGTTCAGTACTCTTAATAGTTCAGATTTCGTAATGGATTGCAATGTTCAATGCATGTTCAGTCCAGCATCCGAAGGGAATAGCAATGTGAGGAAAGCTTTAAATGTTTGTACCGTCGCACCAGAATTTCGAGTAAAAGTGTTATTATTCTAGCGGAGTTGAACCAATCCTTACTCTTTGGAGTGAATCTGACGTCAAACGAGAAATCCCACATTTTATCGATGACTCACGGCCGACATTAAATTGCTTGCCAGATTAGGCCTTTTCTGCTTTATTCTCAAAATGTTCTAACTTTAAGAAAATAGGCAGGAGCCAGAATTAAGCCTGGTCTGATTTTTTCCCCTATGGGAATGAGTGTAACCTATCCCCCATAGGAAACGAGTGGAGCGCCTTTTTGAAACACCCTATACAGCGTTGTGCAAAGGTTTTCGTACACTTTCTTCTTTTTTTATAAAGTGAAATTTTTTATTATAAAATTTTAACCTTGGCTTGTTAGTTGAATATAGAACAACATGACAATAGATAAATGAATCAAATTCTAGGCATGTCCTCAAAATTGGCGCCGTTCTCCATTTCGTTGAAGTGAAAATTTTCGGAAAAACAAAGACCCACAAAAAATGCTTTGGGAACATTGGATGTACCCAATAGTAGCAACCTCCCCGAAATTAGCACCCCAAAAACTACTGGCGTTCCGAATTCCAATTTACTGTATTAGCGCGTTACGCCGGACATTTAAAATCTTCGAAAGGACATTTAAAATTTTTGCCTTCTTAAGTTTTTGCCCCTGAAGATGCCCCTGCGGATCCCCCCCCCCCCCTCTAAAATCATCATCACGAGTGCTACTTCTGTACCATATTTCAGCTGTCACGTATGGACGTTCCGCTGAATATGAAAATGCTATGGAATATGTCCTGAAGAAAAAGTGTGTCCCTGAGGGGTGTTCCCAATCAGTAGGATTGAACTCTGCACCCCAACAGCTACTCGAAAACCAATTTCCGGCTCTTCGTTTTATCTTGAACATGGTAAGAATCAGCGTCAGTCACTCGCTCAGTCACGATGGTCTAAATATTTTAATATTTTAATGCCGAAACATTCCCGGTGAATCACCAGCCGATGTGAATTCCATGATGGAAAAACTGCATGGGTAAAAACTGCACACTCTAAAAAAAAAAATAAATATTATTCTTAATTGCCAGTACAAATGCACCCTTCCTCAGCCAGCATGAAGCAAGAAAATTCGATCAATCACGATTTACCACGAACGTATTGATGATTCTAGCGGCATAATAACGAAACTGTGAAGAATAAGAGGAAAATGCTATCGCGCTGCAGAATCCTCTGGAATCCCTTCGAAACCGAAGTATTGAACGGCCCCTACGAAGTCGATTCTGGCAGGAATCCAGAGATGGACTTCCCGCCCTGATTTGTCTTGGATTTTCGCAATCCCATCAGGCGTTCTCAGACGGGTTTCCCGAATGCGAAGGGCGACGCATCGGAAGTGTCGCAACAGCCGATGTAGGTCGATCTCGAGTCCGTCGCGTCCTCGAGGACATTGACGGGACGTGGCAGTTCCGGAGGGCAGATCGATCTGCCTTGATGCGGGTCGATTTGATGGTGTCGATTGGACACGCTCACATTTCGTTTGTTCCAATTATTGGCTGGGTCGTGTTGCTTGAAATCCTTGCAGGCAGGAGAGCGGAAAGCCAAACGGGCAAATCAGAATTTCGTTGGGAATCGCGACCATAGAACCGATGGGAAGCGATACTGATACCCACAAACCATGGGAACTGGTACTGATACCCACAAACCATGGGAAGAGGGACTGATACCCACAAACCAAGGCTGGATTGCCTGTTAAAAGAAGTCGTTCAATTTTTCAAACACGTGGAAAAGCAACCTCTGATATCGGATTCCAATGTCGCCGGAACCTCACGGCATTTGTGCAATAGCGAGAAAACGCGGGACGCTGCCTCAAATGGGAGTTAGGAGATCGTTTTCGCATTTTGTAGGACCAGCCCTTTAAATTCTACCAGCTGCTCCCCGCGAAACATCCACGAATTCATATTTGAGGCTTGAAGAGATCGACTTCCGTCCCATAACCCATGTCCTCAAGTGAAAAATACGGCCAAAATGTTGAAAAGTCATATTTTGGATCAATAATATCGTCCTGTCATTCGCACCCCCCCCCTTCCCCAAATTTCCCTATTTCTCTATGTACCAAATTTCAAGGGGTTCCGTTCAATAATAGTCAAATGAGGCACTGCACGAATTTAAAATTCTTGGGTGTGAGATGAAGGGGAGATTTTTCTCATCCTCAGAGACCCCAATTTCTCTATATTGCAATTTAACTGAGTTCTGTCTCAGAGTTCTAAATGGGTAACGTTCGAGTTTCAAATTCAATATTAGGGGATACGTTACGTCATAAGTGAACCTTCAATTGCACGCAGGCAAATTTTCAGCGAATTCAATGGAGACACGTCGTTCGAATTTCGGACAGGCGAATACGCTTTCAGACGGATCTTATTCTCCTGCCACTTGCTGGCAGAAAGGACACGCCCCGTCAGCGCTCGACGGGATCGCGTCGCGAAATGACGTCACTCGACGGGATCGCGTCGCGAAATGACGTCACTCGCGGGCAAGCAGCCGCCAGGGGAACGAAGTGAACTATGAGGGCACCGAACATCCCAGCACGAACGTGACGTCATGCTGGAAGCGTTCGCAGAACAACTTAGAAAATGGACCTGGATAATAGAGGCCTAAGCGGGCTGCGGTCCGAACCGATCGGTCCAACGGGATCCGCAGTTCGGACTCAAAAAGATCGGTCGCCGATTGAGTTGGGGATCGCGTGCGAGCCACGGTTCGAATCGGCTCTATCGGGTCGGGTCCGGGAAAGTCTGCCCGCGCAGGCCTCCGGCGGGCCAAAACATCGGCTATTATTGTATAGATGAAGCTGGACTGGAAAAATGTGTTATTGCTGGGAATTCCTGGAGGTAATTACGGAGTTGTGATAATTCTTTCGGGATTTCCTTATTTGAACTCTATTGGGGACTTACATTCTTCCTGTGATTGGAGAGAAAAAACACTTCCATGTGAAGGGTCCGGATTTTTCCATTAATGAAATTTTCGCGGCATTTATATTCATCTCTTCCATAGCATATAATAAGCAGCGAAAGTTTTCTGCAGTTCGCCGAGAGAAGCATCGCGGCGCCTATCCGTTTCTTCCTATTTTAAACTGCATGTCATTCCAGCTGGCAACAATGCAAACCGAAGTTTCTACGTGATTCGTGGCTGGGACCATGCCAGCTCGGTCGGATCGGATGAGTGCATCATTTGAATTGTTTTAGCATTTCCAGCTTCACCCCGAGACGAACCGAATGGGTTGACGGTTAACGTTTCCATACCTGAACCGAAAAACGCGGGCAGTCGATAACTTTTCCACGCCGGTCACCGCCGCAGGGGGAACAGCGCACGAGACGCTCGGGAGTGTGCGCTCGCGCACTCGCTTCACCTCTCTGCACTGGCTTATGCTATTCGGCATGCAATATTCGCTAGGACGCACTTGGAGGACTTGGTCGTTCTCTGTGCACGTGCACCGACGGACGCTCTCTTCGATGTCTTTGCAGGTCAGCGCGGATTCGCCGAGACGAGACAGGAGGGATGCGAGGATGAAGAATCGATACATGGCACGGGCGGGCACTGCACTGCTCACAGTCTACTCGCAGACTGCACTCTCGTGCTGGTGGCCTTGACAGGAGGAGGGGAGGAGGGAAGCTCAGGGTTGCCGAATAAAATTTATTTACTCGTGTTTCGTTCTCATAGCGCATAAAGGAGGATCGTTGGAGAGAGGGTCGACTCCGTGCCCATCAGAGTAGCGAGCCATGGTTGCGACCATGAGAGCATAAATACACGCATCTCTGTTGCCAGTTGAATTGATGCGTTTGTGTCCTCGATGCGCACCATCGAAGGTCATTTTCGCGTGGAAGTCGGAAGGTACGAGATAAAAACAATTTTTTTTTTCCCATGGGCAATGATAGGCACAAGAGACTCCTGGCTTTTCACGTGTATATCCATGCTTTCGTTAAATTTACTTCCGTGTAAATTGCACTCCGACCCGTCGCCGACAGACTTACGAAATTCAATTCAGAATTTCGAAATTCGTCCTGGCAGAGCGAGGCTCAGAGTGACGATCCAAATCCCCGAGAGGCTAATCCCCGAGAGGCTAATCCCCGAGAGGCTAATCCTCTTCCGGGGAATTCCTCCTTGACGGATGAACGGATTTTCATGGGCAAGGAGTCAATCGCTAGCTCAATGACCTGGAGGCGATACTTATTAGCCGAAAGCTATGGCAACTGCTGATCTTTTGAGTTTTGTGGTTTTTATCAGATCCTGGATGCAGAGTATAATTAAATGCAGAGTATAATTAAATGCAGAGTATAATTAAATCTCCAGTATCGGCACATGTCGATGTCAATCGACTTTGCTGCTCCCACCCGATTAAAGTAAGCCGATGGCTTACTTTAATCAATTGATTAATTAGCAATTGAGCGATTATTAGAGCAATTAGTGCGAATGCTCAATATACAGCGCGTGCGAAGAAAAGGAAATAATTTGATCAAGAACTACGATGAATTGAAAAAAAAAATGTCATTTTTCGCATTGAAGCGTTGCGGCACGAATGGTGCATATTTGGTGCTTCGCCTCTCGTTTGCTTGCCAGCCAGGAGAAACGATTCTTCCTCAAGACCCTAGCAAACAATTTGCAGACTAGGTACCGACATCGACGTACCCAGGAGAACAACCAAAACGAATCTACAGAATTAAAAGCAACCACCTGATCAGCCACTGATCTCATTCGTCACGAAGGAAGTCGAGACAGAATCCACGGAGGCTGCGAATTCCGCGCTTTGTCCGTTTCACTCGCAGGGACGTGATAGGGCAATTGCGAGGTCGCCGGAGAGCGATCCGGGTCTGGCAGGTGTCTGCCATCGATTTACCCGATTCTTTTCTGATTTTTTTTTCTACCGTTGAAGTTTCATCACGAAAGTCCTTTGGGTGTGCTGAGGCGCAGGAATGGCGAATATTTTCGCGCTCGTCGTGGAGTCTGGCGAGGGACTCGAAATTAATCATGTATTAATGAATAATGGTTTAGGTAGTAATTCATTCATTAATGACTGATAAAAAAAGGCAATATAATGCAAAAATAGAGAAAATAACTGTGCGGAATAGGGATGCTAATGGCC